TCGCACAGGGCATTGTGGCACGCGGTCACCAGGGCATCCACATCAGCGGCCTCGCTGCCCTCCAGCGCGTGACGCTCGGCGTCCTCCGCAGCGTCCACGGCGTCACGCTCAAGCTCGAACCACGCTGCCTGCTCGTCCGAGGCCAAGTCGCCACGGCAATTAGACTCCTCATCCTCCGCCGCACAGAGGGCATCCGCCGCGCATTCGCACAGGGCATTGTGGCACGCGGTCACCAGGGCGTCCACATCAGCGGCCTCGCTGCCCTCCAGCGCGTGACGCTCGGCGTCCTCCGCAGCGTCCACGGCGTCACGCTCAAGCTCGAACCATGCTNCCTGCTCGTCCGAGGCCAAGTCGCCACGGCAATCAGACTCCTCATCCTCCGCCGCGCTTTGTTCTAGTGTGCGGGGTGGAGTGTTGTGAATTTCTTGTTTTTCCTCTATTTCGCTGCGTGCAATGTAGCGTTCTAGTGAAGTTGTATCTAGTGAATCCGTATGCGCCCTTGGACATTGTATTTCCTCCTGGTTGTGCTGGGGCGATGTGGTTTGTGCAAGATCATCATCACCTTGGCGGTATTGTTGTATGATTATTTTCTTTTCAGCTGTTCGGAGGAGTTTCATGAAGCTGTTAATTTCATTGTCCAGTATATCGTCTCTAGCTGCATCCTCTTCTTGTTCTAAGGTACTTGCAGCTTCTATGCATGATAGGTAAATTGCCTGTGCAAGTTGTATGGATGAATCCCGTTTAGGAATTGGCGATTGATTTGTGATCCCTATACTTTGATATATGTGGTCATTTAGGCAGCTGTTCCATATGGGGCTATTCCCATGTGCCGCACTGTCTAGAACCGTTGCGTTTGTCCTCACTCTTTTATACTTTTGGAGGATATGTATTAGGCTATAAATCTCGTCATCCATGAGTTTATCCATCTGATCATCCCATTCCCTCATGATGTTTGTGGAACGCTGCGGGGGTGGCGATGGAGATGGAGATGGAGATGCTGATGCTCTAGATTGAGATGTGGTTACAGAGTCTGTTAGCGGCTGTGGCACTGGGGTTTTCGCAATCCCTGCAACTAGCTGCTTCCACTGCATGTCAAAGTCGTGGCGCTCCCTGGCTACTTCCAAGTACACCTTCTGCCGGCTCGCGCTTTCCTGTAAATTCATTTGCTCACGTGCGAGGAAGTATGCGGTAGACACCCAGTGATGTGTATGGAGTTCTTCGTAGTCCTCATCATATTTATCATTTTCAGTTTCGCCGAATCGGCCCTGTATTCGCCTCCTATCAAGACTCTCTTGGCTGACGATCAAGTTGCGCCGCACTTCCTCCTTCTCTATACATGTTTGTATATCTTGAAGGGTCTCCCATAACTCTTCCTCCCGTCGCTGCCGATAGCGAGAAATCTGCCCCCGCACCATCCGGTCTTCGAACATTCTCTGAATTATTTTTGAAAACTTCTGGGTCTCTTCAAGTTGCACCTCACGCCTAGATAGGCTCTCTAATATGTATTGTGTCTTGAGTGACTGGAGATACGCCTCTATATGTTGCTCGCTTAGCGCCGGATCCTTAGCCGCCTCGAAGACAACGTGAATAAATCCGTCACCCTCCGACACCACTGAGGGGATCCTGTGTTGTCTTCGTTGTAATTGGTGTTCACGGCTCGTCAAGGACTGGCCGCCAAGAGGAACCGGCTTCGGCCGCGAAAGCGGAATCGGTCTCTCAGCTTCAACATAAGTTTGTTTGGTGGCGCTTGATGGGTGCAAAGAAGGATCGACGCTCACAAAGCTCGTTTTCGTTGATATATTTCCATTCTCACCACTTCGCAGCGCCATGTTGCGATTGGTGTCTTTTGAGATGGTCGCGAGAACTGCCGCCGTCTCCAAAAACTGTTTCTTTGTATCATTGTGAATCTTCAGCTGTCCGTCAACAAACATCTCTTCGAGCGCTGATCGTGTCTGGCTTTCGACAGCAAGGATGCGTTGACGTCTCGTGCTTTCATCCCGGATGAGAATGAGCGGGTTACGTGGTTTCATCTCGACCAAATGCGTGAGAGCGGTGTGTCAGCCCGCAACGTTTTTAAGCCTAATGACCGCTCCCACAAAGCAAGACAAGAAAGCAATGTGGGGCTATGGCTATACAAGATCTCCTGAGCCCCTATGCTTGCAGCAAGGATAAGGTTGTTGTTGTCTCGTATTGCAAAAAGTCCGCTATTTCTCTTCTCACACCTGTGTCGAACCCCACCTTGCACGGTAATTTATATGCAGGTGTGTATGCAAGTATTTTCTCCGTTTTTTCCCCTTTCCTCTTTTTTAAACGCTTTAGAATCTGACTGTGAGACAACTCAGAGAAGGGATTTTCTCTTCTTCGTTCTCTTCACTTTCTCTTTTCCTTCACAAGAGTTAAAAACCAAAGGCCAATAAAAAAGGGAACCTACCCCCACCAGGCCCACTTTCTTGTCTGCTTCCAGCCACGCTGTGCGTTCTCGAGGCTCTGAAAATGCCCCACTGGATGCAACGTTTTCTATTTCCTTTTATATCCCCACACTTTTTTTTTTCGTTCTTCTGCTAAGTAGCCAAGTGCTACCTGATTTTTTTGAGGAACAAGAGAGCACGTCCCCAACCTCGATCCTGATCGATTAATTGAATGATTCTACACTTGCACAGATGCACCTACCGGCAGAAAGAAACAGAAAGGAAGAAGCGGAGCAAAGAAACTTTCACAGAAGGCAGAAGCAGCAGCAGGAGGGAAAAACACCAGAAAACACAGAATAGAGATGAAGCACGGCGAAGCCGTGAGGCGGTCACTGTTCAAAACAAAAATACAGAAAACACTAAAAGATGCTCGACGGGTAGGAGCCTTCCGTGCAGAATCCCATTCTCTCTACTTCAGAGGAATGAAGCGAGAGGAGTGCGTTGCACCAACACCAGGACGGCCGTGCATGACGGGCTTGTACGTCATGGAAAACTCCCCGAGGTAGTGGCCAATCATCTCACCCTTGATCTCCACGGCGTTGAACTGACGGCCATTGTAAATACCAACAATGGACCCCACCATCTCGGGTGTGATGACAACATCACGGAGGTGCGTCTTCACTGCCTTCGGCTTCTCACCTGCCTTCACGTTCTTCTTTGCCTCGCGCAGGCGCTTCAGCAAAACAGGTGCACGGCACTTCGCCTGGCGGTTCATGTGGCGACGGGCACGAGCGTGCACCAACGTCTTGAACTCATCCTCCGAGAGTGCCAGGAGAGGGTCGATCTCAAGCCCACGGTACGTGAACTTGTGGAACGTACGCTCCTTCTTGAGCTGCTCGTAGCGCTCCTGTGTAAGGTTGGACGCCATACTGCTTCTCCGTCTACATACGCAACAGAACACAGAAAAAAAAAAGAGAATGGAGGCTGATTCAGTTGAAGCAGAGGTGCAACCACGAGGAATCCGTAGTGTACCGAGAGAAGAAAGTCAAGGGCATTCCATCCCACAATACAGAAAAAGTAAACATAAGCGTAGTTTACATGTGTATTGCATGATGGCAATGGGTGATGTGTACAAAACGAATGAAAGAGTGACAGAGGAAAGCAATGATAGACACATAATGCAACGCGGTTGATAAGATGCCAAAAATGGCCCTGTACATCATGAGGACCGGCACGGCCACGACTCCTCAGCTTCAAGCCGAGGCAAAGAAACCAATGCGCTCACGAGGGGTGTTTTTTCTGGATGAGATACCTTTTCGTCGACGAAAATGCTCTCGGGTAGCGTAAGGGTACTTTGCCGTATCGCCAAGCAGAGGCCGTACCACTCTACCATTTCCTTGTCGGAGTTGACCGTCATCTGTGTTGGAATAGCATCCTCAGGCGGTGGAGGCGAAGGTGTCTTGCGCTTTCGTTCCACAGATCTAGATGCCCCCAGCTTCTTTTTCCCTTTGGATTTCTGTTTAGTAGCCTTCTTGTTGTTGGTGTTCTTTATCTGTGGTGATTCATTCTCTGTTTGCGCATCCTTCGGTGGATCCACAGCATCAGGAAGAGGCGCACCTAAGGATGGCACGGCCCGATGCTGAGCAGCAACGGGGAAATGCACCGAACGACTGAATCGTTGCACCCCTTCCAAGGCAGTAACCAACAATTGTTCCAGAGAAATATCTTTGAACTCTCGTAGAGAAAATCTCCGCTCGCCTAAAACATTCGAGTATTTTTCTGTAAAAGTAGGCGCCGCTGGAGCCTCTGATTCTCGCAACGACTCTCCAGGAATTTTAATATCATGCTCTGGAAGAGACGGGTACCTTTCAGCTAGATATTCCGCTGTAAGGTTGAGACGGTTCTCATCAAATTCCTTTACGGCCTCCAAAGCTACTGGGACGGGCAGTAGAAACACACCAATAACAACCTGGCTCTCCACGACAAGCGGCCCAAGAACTCTCTCTAACAAATTGTACACTCTCTCGTGGCGTTGAATAATCAACCTGCGCCAAAAACGTGTCAGTACCGAGGCTCCTTGCGGCTGCTCAGAAATATTGCTTTTTCTTGACATACGCATACCAACTATTGATCGATGCCGAGAAGACCTCGGAACATCAGATCGTTCCACACACGTTTCATCTGCCAGAATGGCCGGAAGGAAAATACGTCCACCAACCAGTGGAATCTGATTTGTTTTGAAGGTTTCCATCACTGAAAGAGTAACACAGCGTCCAACATGGGCATCCATATCCGCAACAAGTTTGAGTACCGAGCTAACCAATTTGTTGTATGTAAAGGAATTACTTCCGTCAGAATCAAATTTTCGAATGCGGGTCTCCACAAAAAGTAATACCCTTTGCATAGTATCAAAAAGCTGAACAGGTAATCTTCCATCCACAACATCTACAAACAGACGGCACAATGGCTGTTGTTCCTTGTACCGGTGAGTGGAGTACCATAAATTATAGCTGAACTTTCCAAATTCCATTTCCACAGGATCGCTAATGCCGTTGTGAAGAAATGCTGGATTGAGAGTACCTGATTGAAGCAGCTTGGAGTGAGGACACTCCGACGTGGCTGTCTTGAGTATTTTAGAAATAAAATAGGACACAACATAACCAAATGGAATATTATTCTCACTTTGCTGCATTTCTGACGCAGTCGCATCAAGTCGGACAAGAGGATGTGAAGAACGTTCAAACAACTGGTATACGCGAGGAGCGATCATCTTTGAATCTCGATCTGCACGACACGCCGTCTTCAAGTGTGAATAGTTGGAGAAAAAGTCAAACACCAACGTAGCAGTTTCTGTCTCAGTCCATCTAAGATTAGGAACACTAGGCTCCACATGCGTTCGCAGAAAGTGAGGAATACTGTCCCATAGGGAAGTTGCAAATGTTGGGAGGACACCCAGAACATTACTGTGTTCTGCAACTTTCAGCACAGTTTCCTCTTCCATCCACTCCACCGCCGATGTCAATTGTCGAAGAGCCATAACAGCCGAGTTTAACTGATGCTTGAGATTTGTCCCTACTGCTGCAAGTTCCGCAACAACCTGAGCGGTTGAGTTCTTCAAGTCAATACCAAGATCTGTTTGAACAGCAAAAGAAACATCCCTTGGTCTTGGAGTCAAGGGGACTTCACCACCCTCTCCGAGGGCTGACACGAAACGTTTTTCGTGAATGTACTTTTCGAGATCAAGGACCTGATCCTGCAATATTTCAATTTGTGTGCGTAAAGAAGAATTGTCATTCTTTAATCCATTCACTTGAATACGGTACGCCGTCCTATCATCAAATGCACTGTTTAGAAGCTCACGCTGCAGGGAAAGACGTGCAAGATTCATCTCTTCCCTAGATGCCTCCATAAAGCTCAGCGACACCTGGCTCTGGATTTTCCTCACGCCGTCTTCCTCGCGTCGTTTTGAAGTATCTTCACTTTTTGGCTTGCTGTACGTATAAAGGTCTTCACCCGCGCGTGGGACTTCAATACGATGCTTTCGCAGAAGTGTTTCCAAATCCTCAACACGGTTAACAAGACTCTCGTTTGTTTTGAAAACCGAAGCTATTAATTTTCTGAACGAGCTAAACTCATCTTCTTTTCGCTGGCACTCATTTAACCGCAACATTACCGTTTCTTTGGCCTTCATCAGTTCTTCATCTCGCTCTTTTCTCAGCATTAGAATCTCATCACGAAGTTGTTTGCAGGTTGACTCTGACTTCCTCTTGTCACGGATAAGCTGAAGTATTTTCTCCTCGAAAAATGACTCATACTTCTTGTAGATATTCTGCTCTAAATTCTTTATTTCCATTCGATGCGATTCCTGTACACTCTCACCCGATGCCGAAAGTTCCTTCAAATATCGTCGCACCATCAGAACTATACCCGAAAGTGAAGGCTGTATGCAGCTTAACTCATCCAATACTTTCCTGACGTTGGTACCACGTTGTGGCTCCGGAACATGCTGGGCACAACTTACGGATATGAATGACTCGAGTTGTTGAATTTTCTCTTTGTTTACCAAGGTTTTCTGCCGTGTGGCCTTACGATCAGACAACTGTTGGGCGCCAGAAGCCGCACTCCCTTCCTTGAAGCCGGACATTAAATGGGAGACTGATATTGGGTCCAATCTACCTCTTGTGGGGTGGGAGCCCTTCAATCCCCCCCTCATCCCCTGTCCAAGCGACGCAGTGTGCGGTTCGTCTCCCCTAGGCATCTCAACGCTCATTCTCGGAGTGCTGAGAGTGGTGTTTTCCTCAGCACTCCTACCGAAGTAAGCGAGGGAAAGCAGATTCCCAGATTCCGAATCCATGAACCTTTGAACACAAAAACATACCGAAAAAAAAGGACCAAGAAAGAAGAGCACGGACTTTTTTTTCTGTGTTCTTTGCAGTAAGATTGATGTGAGGCCAAAGAAAAAAAAAAACAAAAAAAAAAACGAGACTATTGTTTAAACCTGTTTTCCTCCAGAGAAACAATGTGCCCTTTCACTATTACAGTTAAAAAACAAGGATCACACCCCCACAGCGACCCTCTCTCAGCTGCGGCAGCATACTCCGCCTGACTTTACGCACCATCAAAAGTAAAAGAATTTCTTCTGGTTAAAGCAATCAGAGTATTCACTGTAAGGCTCCTTGTTCTCCACTGAGTGCTCAAGCGCAGAGTCATCTCTTTTCTCTTCGTTTTAAACTATAAAGACGAATATTTTAAACAGCTTCATGCATGATCGCTGCTCCGGTGCTCTCTTCATCAGATGGGGAGATGGCATCGGTAAGCCACAGCTTAAGACGAACCGCATCAGAGTGATCAAGATAGTAACGAGGAAGAAATTTCGTTTTCACAAATCCCAGGTTCAAATAGAGCGAAAGTGCGCGTTCGTTACTCACAGGGGTTTCCAAATACACCTCCTCGCACCCCTTCTGTCTCATTAGTTCAGTGGTCAAAGCGACCAAACGACTCCCAAGACGGAATCCGCGGAATTCCGGTACAACAGCGAACATTGCCACGTATCCTCTCAAAGGACGACCCGGCCCCTTTCGTGTTACACGGGACACCACAGCTCCCACACGTTCTCCTTTAACAGAAGCTTCAGGGACTGTTTCACTTTCAATGCCGTAAGCAATCACGGTCAGGTCGGGCCATCCAAAAACAAAATACTCGTAGGTAAAACTACTGTAAGGTTCTGTTAGTTCCCTCGTAAAAAGCTGAACAACAAAATTCATTGCCTCTTCACTTCCATCAAATTGCTCATAGCGAATATACTTTTTTGGTGCAACCTCCATCCATGATTTTTGCCCCTCATTCAGCGGCACAACAACATTGACATATTGCGCATCACGAATGGCCTTCTCTTGCCAAAGACGCTGCGCTGCAAAAGCCATTCGCAATTGCTTCTCGCTAAAGGGCATTCCATTTGCTCCCTGGACTTTGCAAATCGCCTCATTTACCTTCTTTTCATCAAGAGCAAGCGCCTGCTTTTTGGTCATTCCCTGCTTGGGATTCTTTCGTGAATCAGCTGCAGAAACACCCTCAATCGCCGCAACCAAAGCATCGAGGGTTTCGTCGCTCACATTGCGAGTTTCTTTCTTCCCACCCTTCTTGGGCATTTCTACTTGGCTTTCTGTTTTATTTTATGTTTTTAATCAATAATTCGTCCCCCTCAATGCAACCCCCCCCACAAAAAAAAAAAA